CTGCAGAGTCCTTGATATGACGAAGCATAAAGCGATGGTGAGATTATGGTTCGTTAGGCATCTGTGCTTCGCTTAGTGTAAACGAGCATAGCATCTAGTATGTCTTAGTTCCTACGTGAATGCACTTTTCTCTTATCTGAAACATACTATAAATACACATTCATCAGTATTTTCATCTATTTTCATAGATTTAAAAAAAAACTAGTAGGCGAGGTATGATATTGTCTCTTCACTGATCCAAAATATGTCTTTGTTCTGCCTGTTAACTGAAAAATGTCCAAAGCTCGTTTGTTTCAATGGAATATTTGTGAATATTGACTATACTTAACCAGAATTCTAGATATTTTTGTTTGAATTTCAAACAGACAGGCGACGCGTGGCGTATGATTTTTGCTGGTACTCGTCCAATTGACTTTGGAAAGACAACATAATAGTATATTACGTAATATGTGCTGTAAAGCAGCATGTGTAAGCATAATTTCCTCGAACAAGAACCAAATTTAGTATAATCGTCCTGCTTCTACATACATCCTCATTTCAGATGTGAACTTATCCATTTTGTTTTAATAGTTTCAATCATCCTTCTGGCATATTTTTCCTCGATGTTACATTTATATATTTTCTTATTATGATTTCACTGGATCATTTATATGTGAAACTCTTTACACTGATTTGTTTCTGCTCCTTCAGACAAGCAATTTTTTTCATCATATTCGAACCGTTATAACTTTGGATTCGATCAAACAATTTTAAATTTATTTCAAGATTGTAATAGCGCATTTCATTAAGTAAAACTTCAATACTTTTTCGTTATTCCACCTTTCCGACATAATGACATATAGGGTGATATCTGATATCAGTTAGGGATTATCATATTAAATTCATATTTGCGTTCGAAGTTTCCATAATATGCTCTATGGGTGTGACGACGCAATATCGAAACTTTCTCTGTCACATTTTTTGAGCATATGGAAATTTTTAACGCGAATTATATATTCGTAATCATTCGAAATTACCCTATCAAACCCAGTATCGTTGATTTCGTTATGATAATCACTAACACAAAAGTTTGGGTCGTTTCTGGTCAAACCGGAAGTGATGGAAAAGTATGGAATATTGCAAAATTCACCAATTCTCGGATCCTACACCCCTGCCATATTTGAATCTCATACCTTCGGAACCCTGGAAAGCATGACTTGCTTGAAAAATTCGATGATACCCGGTATGTTTGAAAATGCACAACACATTGCATAGTGATAGCGTTGAGCAAGATAAGCTAATCTAAAATTCTTTTGAAGTTGAGTTTATGTTGGTTGAACATCAGAATGCAATATATTGTGAAAAATTCCATATATCACAACATCCTGTATGAATCATCCTGAATAAAGAACCATTTCGAGAAAACTCATTATGCTTCATCTTATCCTCAATGAAACATAAAAAAAATCCCTGCCAAACGGGGCGACCACAAACTCGTCCAAAAATTATCACATTTTTAGGTATCACCGTAGGTCTGACGCTGTACTCAATGAAATGAGCTATCAGAATCTGGAAAGAAATTGAAAATTGGATGTTCCAATCCAAAGTTATGACGGTTCGAAAATGACAGATATCTTTGGAAGAAGTCCATGGTAGATTTAGATTTAGAATGGGGCCTTCGGGCTATCTGCCTCCACACCGCGACCTTTTCAGATCTATTGTGTCTGCCCTCAAAATCGATTCGAGTTCTTCGGCTAGCCCCGCCTTCTCTGAGACTCCATAGGCTAGCTTTCAGATCCCCTGTGTTTCTTTGGGCTTCTGGTTTTCCCTCACCCAGCGTAAGGAACCTTAGTCTTGACAAGCCCTCAGAGTGGCAAAGTATGTGTACTGCTGTTTCTTCTTCTTCCTGACAGAACCTGCACAGCAGTTCTTCAGTCAGACCTATCGTACTCATGTGTTTGTTGAGCCCTGTGAGAAGTCCCACTAGTATTCTAGTTGAACTTCGTTTCTGGCTCAGTAGATATTCAGTGAATGTTGGCGATGTTTTTTTAATAAACTCTTTTGCCTGTCTCATACCTGGCGAGTTGTTCCACCATTCTTGAGATTTGGTTTGCATCCATGATTTGATACTATAGTCTTTTGTATAGCTTTGGCAATAACACAGAAGGGTTCTGGGCCATTCAGAGCTTTGTTCGCTCCTGCTCGGGCAAGTGAGTCTGCCTCTTCATTGCCCTCGTACCCTGTATGTGCTGGTACCCATGCTAGAGTCAGTCTGTTCTGACTGCCCAGTTAATTTAGGGTTTCTATGCAGTCCCATACTAGTTTTGAGTTAACTTGCATAGATTTGACTGCTTTGATGGCCGCCTGGCTCAGTGAGATCCTTGTCTTTGGCAATATTCATTCCCAAAATGTTTCACATGAGAAGTTTTTGTTAACGAATTTCGACAGAAAGGTAGACATTGACGGGCATACGAATAATGTCTAGGGTTAGGATAGTTCACCAGCTTACTGAAAATATCGTCGATAAGAACGATTTTTGCTTCTTTTCAATAAACAGGCATTATTTTACCTCGCCTACTAAATTAGAACGACACTGCCTGGAACCAAATTTTCATGCTCATGTGCGGCGTCGTTATGGTTACTAGTTGTATTCACTTCAATATAGATGGGTTAATCTATGTTTCACTTTACTTGGACACATCAATTGGTCCAAAAATGAGTTGCTTTTCCTTTATAAATATCCCACAGAAATACTATTACCATGTGTATTTGGTGGTGGCATAGATTTTGAGCCATCAAAGGCGGTATATTTTTCGCATCTATATGTCTATATAAAGTGTGGAGACTTTAACTGAAATAATTTCGCTAGCAGGAAGGTGAATAGTTTTTCATTTTGAGCCATCAAAGGTGGTATCGAAATTTTCGCATCTGTATAATTGGGTAATCTATGTCTATATAGAGTGTGAAGACCTTTACTGGAATGAATTCGCTAGAAGGGAGATGAATATTTTTTTTATAGCCATCAAAGGCGGTATCAAAGTTTTCGCATCTGTATAATTGGGTAATCTATGTCTATATACAGTTTGGAGACTTTAATAAATTCGCTAGCAGGAAGGTGAATATTCTTTCATTTTGACTCATCAGAGACGGTATCAAAGTTTTCGCATCTGTATAATTGGGTAATCTATGTCTATATACAGTGTGGAGACTTTAACTGAAATAAATTCATCTAGTATTTCATTGATTATTGCTATATTCCTGCCTTTTCAACGTCAATTTAACCTAACAATTGTTATACTCTACAAGCACTTGGTTGAGACATTGCTACATTAGAATCAGTCTCTCTGATATAGGATCCTCGCACAAGTAAATGTAAAAGCGGCAAGTATCTGAAATACTAGGCATCAGCTATGAATATTCTCTCTATACTGATATATTTCAAGAACTCAACTGAGCTTAATTTTTACATGTAAGTAGAATGAAAGTAGCCCACCAACGTCTTCTATCTGTGGTTCTATTAATGGTGACAAAACCTCTAAAACCAATAATTTTGGCATGTGATAGATTTTCCGAAATTTAAGGATGGATTTGTTGAATCACTCAAAATCGGACGGACGGAAACAATTCAGGAAATCGAATTGGTGCAAAATAAATGTGGGGATTTCAACAAAAAGCGAGGGCGTACAATATTTTTTTAGAAAAATCTCTAACACACATCCCATACGAACGCCATTGGTAGGAATATTAAAACAGTCCCTGCTTCGAAAAATGTCTATTGGGGCTTAGTAGGTGCTTGTCAAATTTCATGACAATAACAAGAAGTATTGAAGTTATGATAAGAAAACAATTTTTTTCTTGAAAATATCAACAGCCTATAGCTCAAAAGATGAGAGGTTTATGGCATATGTTCATATGCACTTTTTGAAATGAGTAAAGAGCAATATTCTACCAGGCAGTAAAAGTGCGTCTTATTAGTAAACACCAAACATATTTATTTTTCCACGAACTATCAGCTTTACGAAAATATCGGCAGTTTTTCGTTATCTATCACATTGAAACAGTACCTACCTACTCACCATTATAGACGAAAATTCTAACAAAGCGTAAATCTTTCGACTGCTCTCTTATCTCAATCGAATTAAAACAAGGTGTACAATTTAAAAATTTTGAAGGTGTTGATGTTTAGGGCAGCAGATTGAAAATCGACATGTCCGATAATGTTCTTAAATATATATCTGTTATGGAGATATTGTATAGAAGATCAGAGGGAACAGCGCGTTTCGCACATTTTGAACTAATTATGTCCTGTAGGGTATGCCAACTCTATTTAAACATACATTTTCGCGAAAACGGGTATGTAACTCTATCAATGTTCTGATAAATCTGGCTTAAGAGAAAGTGTGTTGCACAAAAATTAGTCATTCTGCATTCAAACTACCCCTCGACAAACCACATATCATAACCTCGGCACATACCTCTATTTGTTTTTTGCAAATTACACCCTCTTATTCTTGTGGTATGTTACTAGTCGACTAGTAACACTACACGACATTCTAACGTTTGTACCTACTCTGGAAGTTGTGATATCAATGTTATATTTACAGATACTATTCTATTTTTATCTACGATTTACATCGAAAAATTCTCATTACTCACCTATATATAGGACAAGATCAAATCTTTGACAATGACCTGACATAATATTGATAATGACGGAATAGACCCTAAAGATGGACACACACGTTTGACACTTGACGGCTTGACTCAGCACAGAGTATGTTGACATTTTATGGTTTTTTGTTGTTTGATATCTTACCATTTTTATAATATGTGGCAACGTCGCTTCGTTCACCACGGTTCTCCTTGTTTTATATGACTTCCATGAGCGACTAGCTGTCGATAAGTAAAATTTCGGGCCAAACAAGGGGTCATGTCCCAAATCTTATTTTGATGTATGCAGTATGCAATCATTGTTGAAGCAAAATAGATTATAAGATGCTAACTAGAAATATCCGTTTCAGATGAGATCCAAGAGCTGCAATTACAGAAAAACGAAGACGCCCTCAAGTCATATGGAACGAAGAAATTGTATCCATGCCGTTTCTGTCCTAAAGTTCTAAAAAGATCCTATATACGAATATGTCACGAGAGGATCCATACTGGCGAAAAACCGTATCAGTGTTCAGTTTGTGGAAAATCTTTCATCAACACTTCCAACCTTCATGATCACGAAGCCATTCATTCAGGAGAGAGACGTTTTTCATGCAGTTTTTGTGAAAAAACTTTCATTTGCAGTAGCAACAGAAAAAGACACGAGAAATCTCACGAGAAAGAAAAATGTTTCAAGTGTCCTTTTTGTGATGATTTTTTTTCATCAAGAATTCTGCTCAAAGAACACAAAAAAACTCACTCTGAGACACCTTACGCCTGTCGTCTTTGTCCCAGATTATTCAGCAGCAATTATAGTCGGACCAGACATGAGAAGGTTCATTCAAGAAGCAAACCTTTGGAGTTGAAGAAAATTCGCCATTCATTTTTATCTACAGAGTTGATAAATGAAGAATATGAGATGAATGACACTGCTCAGAAACTGAATTGTGCTTCATGCGATGTTTGTCTCAAGTCATTCGCATGTGATGCCAAGTTACAGTTACATCGCAAAATTCATACTGAAGAGAAACTGTTTGCATGCGGTTCATGTGAAAAATCTTTCACAAGCAGCTGTTTACTCAAGAAACACGAGATCATTCACTCTAGTGTGAAGCCCTTTTCATGCAGCTATTGTCCCAAATCATTCCTCCATGATTATAAGCGAATTCAACATGAAAGAATACATAATGGAGAGAAGCCTTATATGTGTAGATATTGTGACAAGTCCTTCTCAACGCATTCTATTGCCAGCGACCATGAGAATACACATACAGGGAAAAGACGTTACACATGCGACGTTTGCAATAGAAGATTTACGCGAAAGGGTTCATTGCACATACATACACGGGTTCATACTGGAGAAAAACCTTGTAATTGTAACATTTGTGGAAAAGTGTTCACTTACCTTTCTTCTTTGCGAAAACATGAACGAATCCATAAAAGTTAAACTAATCACAAACCTTGATGTGCAGCTTGATATCATTATTCGCGAACATTATTTTAGATTTTTAGAACATTTATTTTCAAATCTACGTTTTTTCTGGAGATTCAGGAATCAACAGCCAGAATGATTGTCCAAATTGGTGATATCCTATTTTTACCTAATTATTCCACTGTTCAGAAAATGGTTTTGCTTCAATAAAGATAATGTCAAAATAACCAGAAGCATCGAAATAAGCCAGACGCCCCCTTACGGATATTCAAGTAACTAATAGAAAGTACATTGAAATGTTTATTTACATTCGTTTTCCATGCCTTTTATCAAAAGTGTGATTCTTTCCGAGTCTGAATTATTTCATAAAGTATCTTGAATAATTATTATTGTTTGATTTTGCATGTTGTTCATGAAAGTTTACTCACTGCATTTCACAGAAATTGATTTCGTAAATCAGTGTAATTAACATAATTTTTGATTTGAATTTCAGTGGTATTTTATTCCCAGAAGTGGAAAGTGCCAAAAGAGGTCTGGAAAATTCAACAGTTACCTACCTACTCAACTTTGAGGACATTTTCTCTTTAATCAACATGTGTAAGATAGATTGATTTCAATAAACATAAACCTCCTAGTTTGTTTAAACCTCATTATCTACTTTGTGAGAATCAACATCATATTCACAACACTAGAAGTAATAATTGGACTCACATTTACTAATGAAAACTAAGGTTACCTCAAATTAGTACATTTTTCACTTCATAAATTTAATGTATTTGAAGTAGTGAAATATACTCAATTGAACGAATCTCAGCTGGGGAGCTTTCTCGAAACATAGAAGGATACAAATAAATAGTAAAAAATATAAGTGAGAAAGAAACTTGAAAAAGCTTTAATTCAAACGCTCTAAAAAGAAGAAAATGAAATCTTCCCTTAAAATTGCTTGAATGCTTGAAAAATATTCACATGCAATTTTTGCCCCAAATTGTTTTGTCACAGCTATAAACTAAAAACGACAGGGTCCATACAGGAGAAAAACCCTATCAGTGTACTTAGATCTTTCACCACAAGCTGGATTCTCAAAAAGAACACATCAGGGGATTGGGGGGAATGCACAGTACAGGTCAAAAATCTGACACCTGCGGATTCTATTCTAAGTCCCAAACCGGCCAGAAGCCCTTTTCTTTCTTGCAATTTTTTTGACATTTGACATCTGGTATTTGTATCTTGGGACTCTTGAGTTCTGTGATTTGTATTTGGGTCTTGATCTTGTTGATTTTAGGAAATAAAATGTGTTATTGAGGTACAACATGAGTATATAAAGTGTCCAATGATGAAAAAAAGACACAGTTGTAAATGAATATCCAAGATAGGTGGTGAAAAATGGTGAAATTTTATCATGAAATATCTTGATAGATAGTGGTTTGTTCATATTTTCATGGTGAAATTTGTGTTTTACAGACGAGAATACGTAAGTTCCAGAAAAAATTTCCGAAAAAAATCCCTCACATGGTGAACTTTTACCCTTTATTCAATTCTTCTGCAAAGACATTCCTAAACAAAGTGGGTTCCTATGTGTTGTGTAAAAAACTTCTATTTACCTCTTATTCATCCTCATAAACCCAGTCTGCTCTACTCTCTCAAGTCCTCTGACCTCAAAATGCCAAAAAGCCATTCAAGAAAGGAAAACAGCAATCCAGCAACAGAAACCTGGAATACAAAGATTTTAGGACCAGGGGAAGCGAAATCAAATTACAAATTTTTTAAGAACACCTTGATGGTATGTTCTGTATGTTCAAGTTTCAAACATGAAAATATTATTGTTCTCTAAATTCATGACAACCTAAGATAGCCGTTACAAATGACAACCAATACTGGAAAAACGTTGAAATTCTCTCAATTATTTACTACAGATACAGAGGAACACTCTGGAGAATTTTGAAAAAATAAACACCTAATCCAACATTAGCAAATATAAAAATCAAAAAGTAGAGTGAACATGAACAAAATTATTAAACCTTAATAACATGACATGACAGCTCTCACAAATCACCACTAGGTAGCGTAGAAGACGAAAATTCAAATTCAAACAACCATGAGTTTCCGTAGGAATTGTTAATCCATTTTAACTTCCGTGGTTGTGCGTTATCCCGTTGTTTCATTTCATGTGGATCTAGAATTTCACTCCACTGCTATGAGAAGTCGATAGAAAGAGAATGGAAACGAGCACTAAACCTCGGTCTCGGTATAAACAAAATCTATATTGAGTTCATTGGAAAAAGGAGACTACTTTTGATCCCTTGGCGTAAATGAACCTTTTCCCTGGAAAGTATATTCTTTCGAAAAATTACTTGAGGGAAAAAAAATGACTCCTCGCAGGGAGTTGAATACGAGCCACCGCCGTGGAAGTCAGATGGGACAGCCCACTGAGCTATCAAGCATCAAGCCCCGCAGGGAGTTGAATACGAGCCACCGCCGTGGAAGTCAGATGGGACAGCCCACTGAGCTATCAAGCATCAAGCTACTCGAAAGTTTTATCCATGAAGAAAGAAAAAAATATCGTGTGTTGGCTTGATCATCACAATTTCTTAGATAATATACTTTTCAGGAAAAATGTCCATCTAGGCCAAGTAAGGTTTTGAGATTTAACGCAGAGCATAGCAGCAAGCCACTATTTGAACAACTGGCGGGAGACATTCATGAAGTGAGTGAAGTGACAGAAATGGAAATGACACACCGAAAAACAAGGTTAGCGACGACGGGCCTCTCAAAGTCTCAAACATAAACAAAACACAAACAGTGATAAACCCCAAAATCCAAAATAATTATATTATAATATTATAATTCAGAATGATATGATGTTTATTGATCTGGCAACAGTTTCCAGTACTCTCAATCTCATTATAGTTCTAAACTTTCAACAGAACAGAAATTATGGACACTTCCCAAAATACACCTTTTGAAGTTGATATCAAACAAGAACCAGATGAAAATATAGAGAAAATAGAACTGAAGTATTCACCAATAATTGCACCATTAGAAACGGAATATGAAAATGCTGATAAAAGTGAGATTTCTGCCTTTATAAGAGGCACTGAACCTGCTGAATTTATGAAAACAGAGTTGCAAGACGATGCTTTTCTATGTGATGTTTGTGAAGAAACCTTTCAGTCCAATGAAGATTTTATCAATCATAAATTGAGAAGTCCTAAATGTCATGATGAAGATTTTGATATCAAAGTTGAACACAAGGATGGAATCAAAAACATTTACATTTGTTCTGTATGTAATGGAATCCATGAAACAAAGGAAGAACTGTTAGACCATAAGAAGGAAAATGAAAAGTGCCATGAGCACCAAAAATGTAATAAATGTGAAGGATCAGAGGAAGATTTCTCCTGTACATGGGAGCTGAATGACCACTTGAAGGCCACACATGGTGTGGAAGATCAGGGTGAGTTTATTTCAATTGGACCTCATAAGAAATATATACCCTCATCTGTTATTTAATGATGACAATAGAATAAATGTTAGATCAAACATACAAGTGCTGATGATGTTAAATAATAATATGTTAAATTAAATTATTTTGATAAACTTCCCTCATTTGTTATTAATAAAAGTCAAGTGTCAGCTGACAGAATATACCATAAGGAAGTTATAAAATATAGGATGTCTATATTTCCCAAGGTGCAGCTATGGGGTTGCCAGGTATAAACAGGTATATTTATATTTCCTCATAAGTTATTTAATCAAAATATAGCTCAAATGATACCTCATTCAATTCACAATCCAATTGCATTAGGATGCTTTATCATTAAAAGTGTTGAATTCATGGTTGCCTATATTTAAAATGTTTAATTTTCTGCTCCAGTGAGCCTCAAGTGTGACAGAGAGGCAATGTGGGCTCATATTCATTTGACAGACAAAATTGCCAAGAGGCAGAAATATGAGGAGACCACATTCTTGCCAGAATCATGATGTAAGTATAATTATGTACAGTGAGAGGCAATTATGGAATAAATTCATTTATTTGAGAACAGAAGTCGCCGATTCTGGAGACAAATTCCAAGACATGTGGATTTTTATTATCAATTTTCCAAATTTTAAAAGAAGAAATAAATATATATACAGGGTGATCCACGTTTGAGTTATGACATTGGCAACAATTTTTCCAAATAGAATACCCTAAGTATATATTATTCAATCTTTGGAATCTCCATGGAGAGCTTAATTCAAAAATATATCACACATAGGGTTTGTATACAGTGGGTCTGTTAAATTTGGTGCTCTTGTAAATTAGTTGATTACATTCATTTTTAGCCAGACAATCCATTTCTGAGGAAACTCCTGAAACACAATTTTTTCTTCACTTTGCCACATTTATTAGGAAAAATTGAATACATAGGATGATATGACGTCCGTGATGATATTTTCAAAGGGAATTCAATTTTTGGAATGTCCATCAGAAGCTGATGGTTTCTTAATCATTCACATATAGGATTTGTATACAGTGCGTCCATTGAATTCAGTACTCTCGTGAAATGGGGTTGCCATTTAAAAAAATACAAATGAAGTAAATCCTTCTATATACGAATCATTCTGTATGTATCCGTGGAATTTGAAAGGATGCCCGAACAAAAAGAAAGTTCGACTGTTTTGAGTGTTCTGTCGATAATTTTTTCTTTTAAATTTTAACGAATTCATTCTCCACGTCACAAGAGCACCAAATTTAACTGACGTACTGTATAGGAACCCTATGTGTAATATATTTTTGAATTCAGCTTTTCTTGGATATCCCAAAAATTGAATGATGCTGGTCGGACCTGCCTTGGCTCTCCAGACTGAAGGAACCTTTGAAGGTCCCTCCTGGATGGAGATCGACGCGGCGGAGGAGACAGTCTCGGCGTTAGGTAACAGGGGAACCAAAGTCGATTCCGCAATACCCCCAACCAGCGGAGGAGTCTCTGAAGGGACCTCCGAAAACACGGTTGGAGGGCCTCCTCATAGGACCTCAAACCGATCCCCCTCATCATCAGTGATGAGCGAGGTGGAGCAGATGGACCTTGATGTCTTGATTGAGGAACCTGAAAAGGGACCTCAATCAGAATAGGCCTTCAGTAAAGAAACGGCTGTAAAATGTTTACAGGTGAACCGTCAGCACGGGAAAGCCCTAATGGCCTTGCTATGCCAAAGGATCCTGGAAGGGGATATAAATATCCTACTGATACAGGAGCCTTGGGTATATTATGGCAAAATAAGGGGGATGGGAATGGGTGGAGGAACGGCTCACTACTGCATATCTCCGTCGATTCCCCCGTGCGTGTGTGTATACAAAAGACATGGTCCCAGTATTCTGTACCAGGGACCTGGTGGCGGGGGTTCAACACGAACGTTCTTTACGCCAAGGCAGCAATCCTGCATAGATAGGACATTTTGCACCAGAGACATGCTAACCAAAGTTGATTCATGGAATGTGTCACAAGATGATTCCCTGTCGGAACATCGACACATTCTGTTCAAGTTGGGTGGGATAAGCCCACCTAAACAGAAAAAATATAGGAACCCACGGGCTACCAAATGAGACCTCTTTAGAGAGGGACTGGAAGGAAGACTAGTGGTACTACCATAAAAGTACGGG